AGGAGGAGGAGGAGGAACCCTCACCCTGCAGCAACACAAACAGCTTTAATCTTTCACTCAACCAGATTTATCCACTTTTAACCGTTTTGTTTGGTTCCAAGGGTTTCAGGACTTCGATCAAATCCTCTTTTTTAAAACATTAACATTAAAATAAACTTCCTGTTTATGATCAGTTTTATTAATCTGCTCAGTCTGGGTGTGTTTACCTGAACCAACCACACGGTGGCACTCTAACCAAATATCAGCTTTTTAGATATTTATTTTTAAAAATAATTTCTTTTTGTTTTCTCCTTCAGGTCGAAGAGGAGAACCTCCTCCTTCGCTCCTCGCCCTCCGGACGGCGGCTGGTCTCTGAGAGGGGTAAGAAGGAAAACTCAGCACACCTGAGTAAAAACCTTTCAAAATAAAAGTTTCTTGTGTAAAAACTGCAGAATCCAGACTTGTTTATCTCCATCCATCCATCCTCCGGGAGGTAAACTCAGACCTCCTCCTCTCCAGAGTTCATTTTTTTATTCTTTAGCATGACCTTTATAATATATGTMTGTGTTTTTACCTCTGGTGTCAGCGTGTCTCCTGTAGACCCTAATAATAGACGTTTGTTTCCCTCCTGACGACCGTCGCTTCCTGTTTGTCCAGCGGGATAACACACACACACACACGCAGATGCAGACACACACACACACACACACACACATTGTGAAGGGGTTCCTGTTCCTGAGGGTCTGTAGATCCACTCAGGGAGGTGGAGAATCAGAGGTGAAGGAGCAGAAAACAGGAGAAGGGCTCAGAAGAACCTGAAGGGAGTTTTTCGAAGTTTTAAAAGGAGGCGAAGAAAGCGAGTTAAAATGTGACTGTGAAGGAGGTGATTTAAAGGAGGTGAAGAGCGTCGGATGGAAAGAAGAAGGTGTGGAGGATAATTCAGCACCTGAAGCGTGTTTGAGGAGCAGATCTGGTCCTGATGATGGGCTGTTGTCTCTTTGTTTACTATCGGGTGAGTTTAGGGACAAAAAGCATCACTTTAAAAAAAAAACAGCTGCGTTTTTATTATTCTGTGAGTTTGATGCTTTTTTATTAACGACACCGTGAGAGAACAAAAAAATTAAAACTGAATTCTGTTTCAATTAAGGAAAGTTGTAAAAGCTACGAATAATATTATAAAGAAAGAAAACTCATAAATTCAGCTTCGAACTCGATAGTTGAAGCATGTCTCCATTAGTTATGGAAGTGGATTTGCCTTATATGGGCATGAGGACATAAGCCCCGCCTCCTCCTCCTGATAAAGGTGAAGACTGCCAGGTCTGGACATCAACAACAACATCGGTCTGGACACAAACGGTCGAACTTCCTGCTATTGTTGACCTCAGCATCCTTCGGCTGTGCTCATTTCTGGCTTCTTTCTGTCGTTAATTAAATCCATAAAGATGAAACCCTGGACTTTTTGACTTTAGTCTGTTGAACGCTTTTGAAAAAATCTTATTATTGAGATAATTTATTATTTCACATGCTTTTTCAGCATGTATATCCTTCCACATTTTCTGTTCTGTTTCAACAATTTATAAATCAAAACATTCGGCTCGTTCAGGACATTTCAGCTATGACTTTTGGTATTTCAGCAGTTTACACTTTTTGAGATATTTAGCTTTTTCTGTCATTTTTCTTCTCATTGAAAATGAGTGGAGCCGTGGTCAACATCCTTAAAACCCTTTGAAATGTTCATAAATATTTTCTGTTCTTTTCGGCTTTTCTTGACTCCTTTGTGCTAACTTCAGCTGCCTTCAAATATTTTGTGCTAATTTAGCTGTTTTCAGCATTTTTCAGCTATTTTTCAACTTRGTTCTGCTAATATCAGCTTTGATTGAAGTAAATTTAAGCTTTTTATTTTTCTTTTAGCTTCATTCTGTTTTTTTCTGCCATTTCAGCTACTCTTTAGCTATCAACCATTTCCTTCAGTTATTCTCTGCTATTTTCAGCTTTTTAAGCAAATTTTCAGCTGTTTTAGGCTAATTTGTACTGCTAACATCAGCTTTGATGTGCTTTTTTAAACTTTTTTTTGTTTCAGGCTTTTTTAAACTTCTTAAAGTTAATCTAAGCTTTTTATTCTTTTAACTTCATTCTGATGTTTTTTCTGCCTTTTCAGCTACTTTTTACTAACATCAACCATTTCCTTCAGTTACGCTCTGCTAATTTCAGCCTTTTTAGCTATTTTCAACTACATTTACTTATTTATTTAACTAAATTTCCTTTTTTTACAATATTTTTAGCCTCTTACTGCTTAATTCAGCAAATGTGCTCCTTCAGTTTCTTGAAGCTAATTTCAGCTATTTTCAGCCAATTTTAGGGGTGTAGCTAAATTTACCTTTTTGCAATTGTTTTTCAGCTTCTTACTGCTTAATTCAGCAAATATGTGCTCTTTCAATGACGACCGTGTTCATTTTAAGGTCACAAAATCAAAGGCAAAGGTCACATTTTAATAATTATTCAGCATTTTTTTTAAACGAACCTCTTTCGTTTAATTTCAGCTTATTTTTTGTATTCTGTTTGTAAATTCTCTCTCTTTTTTTGCTTCTTGCAACTTCTTTCTGGTCGTTTCAACTCTTCTGCTTTTTAAGCTGAATTATTGCAAATATTTGCTATTTTCTGCTAACTTTAGCTACATTCCTGCTCTGTTTATCTTTTTTGACACATTTTTGTTATTTTTCTACTGATTTTTCTCTTTTGTTTTTTCTACTTTCAGCAAAGGTCAGCTGTTCGAATTTAACTCACATTAAAAGTCTTCAGCCTTCACGCTGCAGTTTCTGTAGTTATTAGTTGAGTGTTTAATTTAAAGCCAGACTTGTGGGATCTGAAGGTTTGATTTTGTGTGTTTTGTGTTGCAGAAGAAGAGGAAGCAGGCCGGCGGAGATGCAGACGCCCTCAGTCTCTGCAGTCTGGACATCAACGTAAGCTTCGTTTCTGCTTCAGTGTCGGATCAATCTGTGTTTTTAAAGAGTTTGAAAAGCTGTGAGGGTGCTGAAGTGTTCACATAAAACAGAAAAACAGCTTCTTTGTTGAGCATTTGGTCCAGTTCTGCTCAGATTGGTCCAGAAATGTAAAAAATATCTTTTCAAGCTGCAGTTTGTAGCTGTTAAAAAGCTAAGGTTTAGATGTAATTTAGTCCACATGGTTTAATTTATAGAATTCATGTTATTATTTTCACATCTTGAGTAAAATAATTGTATATTCTGGACCCTCGTGAGTCACGTCGGACCCCCCTTTCCTGTATTTTTAGCGTAGTTTTAGCCCGTCGTTTTTCCGGGCGTTCCCGCTCTCGACACAGGAAGTCCAACACACTTCAGCGGGACGAACGGAGCGAAACACGCATTCGTCTGATTTTTTTTTTTTGTTTGTTTGACATCCAGCCTGGAGTGAGTTACAGACTATTGTTTCTGCTCAGTGAATCACACACGACCTTATTGTGCTTCAGGAAGTGGAGACTTCTTTAGCTGATACTGAAGGTCAAAGGTTAAGACGCGGCATCCCCACAGTAACAGATTTAGAAGAGATAAAGTCACAAAGCAGGAAAARACAACTCAATAAATAACAACAACTCAACAACACACGATGTCTTCAGGACTGAAAAAAAAGGTTGTCGACAGAGCTGTAAAGTAACTAAGTACAAATACTTTGTTACTACATTTGAGTAGAAATTTTGGTTATCTGTATTGTACTTGAGTAATTTTTTTTACTTCTACTTACATTTTCACACAGTTTTCTGTACATTACATTTTTTTTAAAAAAGGCAAGAAGTAGAAAATCATTACTCCTATTTCATTTCGGCTCATTATTGTTAAAAAATATTATCCTGATATATTGTMTCTCCTGGAAAGAGAGTGAATTTAATTGTAGTTGGATGAGAAGAATAATTGTACACAATCCATACCTTTAGAAAAAAATATTTTTTTGAAGAGTTCACCTCCTAATAAATGTCATTTTGGAAAATCTAATCTCATTTTTACTCAATACTWTTAATACTTAAGCACATTTTATGTCAGAAATTCACTTTTGATACTTAAGTACCAAAAAAATTTTATACTTTAAGAATATTCTTGGAGGAGACTTTAACTTTTACCTAAGTAATTTCATGATAAGATACTTGTACTTTTACTCAAGTATCACTTTGAGGTACTTTACACAACACTGGTTGTCGAAGCCCGAAACTTAAAACCACTCCAAGAGAGAATGAGAACAGAATATATTCAGTTATACCCGGGGCGATGACGTAGAGTGGCTGCAGCTGTGGAACCAGCACCAGAGGGAGCAGAAAACTGACGAATGATCAGCACAAATAAGACCTGATAAAATGAAAACACAACTAAAATAATTTCATATAAATAAATGTAATTATCCTCAGTCTTGATTTCAAATTATTTATTAAACTCATTACCAATTAACCAACGAACTCGTCGCTTCTCCTGTTTTAAAATGAACACAAATAAAAGAGCTGTAGTTATTTTGAAACATTTGTTCCATCTGTTTGTGTTTTGATTTATTATCGATTCTCTCCACAAACTAATTAATTTCGCTCTGTTGTAGCCCCCCGCAGGCTGACATGTTTATTGATGTGGTTCAGTGAACTTACTGTAGGTCACAAACAAACAACAACAACAACACCTCCTGTTTGTTTTTGCTTTAAAACGTAGCTTCAAAGTGACATCACCTGAACATAATCCACAAATTTTCTGTTAAATTTTGTGGTTTTTTTTTTCCTTTTTAAGATGTATTTATTAGATGAAGTGTCACAGAATATGAACAAGAGTTTGGTCTCTTCTGATTTCAGTCAGTTATATTTGGTTTGTTTTATCAGAAATATAAAATTTAATTTGAAGTCATGAAGGTTTTCTTCAGCATGTTTTCATTTCCTCCTTGGTGAATCACCACCAATTTACTGTWTTTAAAAAAGCTTTTACTTTCCTGCAGAACAGCTGCTTCATTTCCAGACATTAGGTCTGTGTCAGAGGAGCTGCTTTTGTCGCAGAACGACACCGACATTAGTCACAGCTAAACAAAACAATTGATTAAGAGAACAGCACCTCTTTAATCTGACTGCATCTGATCCAAGATATCTTAAAATATTCTGCTGGATTTCTTATGTTAGAAATCTAAAAATAATTAACATTAAACACACGCCACAATACTTTTTTTTACTGGATCATAATTTAAATGTTTTAATATGTAGTAGTTTTATCTTAAATCAAGTTGACTCAAAAGGTTGATCCTTGATGAGTTATTTCTCAGAGTTTTATTAGAATCTGTCCAATGGGTTCATGGAATATTTTGCTAACAGAGGAACACACAGCACTAAAATCCTGCTTACGAGAGCTTAGACAAGAAAAATGTTAGTTTTTAATAAGCAAGAAATGTTTTAAATCAGTTTTTTATCTTTTAAAAAGAGAAATGAGAAACATTTTTTGTGTTTTGACTCAGAGGTTTATGATTTTGTGTCATTGTGACCTAAATATGAAGTTTTTCCTGCTGCTGTTCAATCTATAATTATCAGGTCGCCTGCAGGGAGAAACAACTGTGTCCTGGATTATTAGCAGTGTGTGTGTGTGTGTGTGTGTGTGTGTGTGTGTGTGTGTGTGTGTGTGTGTGTGTGNGTGTGTGTGTGTGTGTGTGTGTGTGTGTGTGTGTGTGTGTGCTGAAACAGCTGTAATCGTTGTTAAAGCGAAGATGCAAAACACAAAGTAAAAGCTAAAAGTAGCAAAAGTCTGGCTAAAGCCTGAATCAAAACGTGAACTAGTAGGTAAAAGTGACGAGAGGATCGCTAAAAGCTAAAACAAGAACCGTAGCTAAATGCTAAAGTAGTAAAAGCTTGGCTAGAAGCTAAAAGTAACAGAATGGTAATCAAATGTTAAAATTATCAAAAAGCTGCCAATAAGATAAAATGAGTAAAATACCATCTACAAGCTAAAAGAAGCAACATGCTAGAGAAGGCTAAACGTTATAGACAGCAGGCTAAAAGTTCAAAGTAACAGAATGGTAGCTAAATGATAAAAGTGGCAAAAAGGTGCCTATCAGCTAAAAGAAACGTAAAGGCTAGCTAAAAGTTAAAAGTAGAGAAACAGTAGCTAATTCTAATGTAGCAATAGGATGGCTAAAATCTAAAATCAAGAAAAGGCTACTCAGAAGTTCAAAGTAGCCGAATAGTAGCTAAATGATAAAAGTAGCAAAAAGGTGGCTATCAGCTAAAAGTAACGTAAAAGCTACCTAAAACTTAAAAGTAGAAAAACGGTAGCTAAAGTAGCAATAGGCTGACTAAAAGCTAAAAGTAGCAAAGTACCATAATGGTAGCTAAATGTCTAAAGTTGCAAAAATGTGTCTATAAGGTAAACATAGCAAAAGGTTAGTTAAAACCAAAATACATCAAAAGATAAACTAGTAAATAAAGTAAATATATTTATATTTGTGATAATTTCTAAAGAAGCAAAAGTTTGACTAAAAGCTAAAAGTAGCAAAAGTCTAGGTAAAAGCTAACTAGAACAGCAGCTAAATACTAAAGTAGCTAAAGGTTGGCTGAAAGCTAAAAAGTAACAAAAGCTTGCTAGTGACTAGATGTATCTTTAGGCTTGCTAGAAGCTAAAGGAAGCAACATGCTAAAAGAAGCCAAAAGTATTAGTGAAAAGTAGCAAAATGTTAGCTAAATGATAAAAGTAGCACAAAGGTGGCTCACAGCCACACTTGGCTAAAAGGATTCTGAATCTGAAATTCGGCTGCGTATGCCTCTGGAAACAACATGCTTTGATATTTTTCTAATAGTTCTCGGGCCACAACAAAAACTCTGTGCTACGGATAAAACCCAAACAGCTGAAAGGATCTGGTTTTTGTTGGGTTTGTGTTTTTTATGAGGTCTGATTATCAGGATGATTTGATTAAAGTGGAAGGAATAAAAAGAAAATGGAAGTTAAATGAAGAAGAATATAAGGAAAGAAATGAGTCAGTGAATCAGTGAGTCAGTGAATCAGTGAATCAATGAGTCAGTGAATCAATGAGTCAGTGAATCAGTGAATCAGTGACAGAGAGAGATGAAGAGGGTGAGTGGGAGGAGGAGGGTGAGTGAGCAGAGAGAAAATCAGATCCACAGCCTGCTCCAGTCCTGGTTCTGGACTTGTCTGTCTCAGTTCAGATGGCCTGACGGGGTGGTTCCATGAAGGTCTGGATCATTTCTGGTCCCAGATCCAGATCTGGATCTTCTGCTCCTGATCCAGATCCTCTTATGGTGTTTTCATGACGGTACCACAACCTGTTTCCAGACCCGTCCTGGACTCCAGTGACATTTATTCTGTCTATCCTGGACCTGTGACCCAGTCCTGATCTGGAACTGGTTTTTACGAGGATGGGATCAGTATGGTGGCAGGGCGGGGAACCTTGGTGTTGCTCGGTCAGCAGGACCAGAACACAGAATTGTAAGATGAGCAAACGGGCCGAGGTGAGGTTTGGACTTGTTGGAAAGCATTTATTTTTTATTTTAAGGAATAATTTCCACATTTTAAATACATGAAGATTTAATGTTTTTATCCACGTGTGTCTGTCTGTTAGCAAAATATCTCATGAGCCACATGATGCGTTGTTTTGTTCCACGTTTGTTGTGTTTTTATTTATTTTACTTTTTCTCAGAAATTATTTTGTTAGAGGCAGAAACCTTGTTCTGGACTGAACAGTTTTTTTTGTCTTTGCTGCCTGATCAGGAGCCCAGCACCAAGCGCAGCAGACCCATGTCCAGGGTCCCGTCTCTGGCCAGCCTACTGCCCCCCGTCAAGACCGCCCCGCTGAAGAGGATCAGTCAGACCCTGCAGGTCAGTCAGTTCAGATGTTAATGTTTAATCTGGGAAGTGACGGCACAAATACACAACAAATAAAATAAAAACTAAAGTTAATATAAAAATGATATATTCAGGTACTTTTTGTAAAAAAAATTTCCGTAGTATTATTACTACGTCAAGCGTAGAAACTAGCTGTAAATGTGAAAAACTACAGATGCTAAAAAGACCAATTTGACCACAAACTGTAAAAATTAAAAAGATTTTCTGTAAAACAAAGAGAACGCAGACAACCAAATTATTCTGAATTTCGATGAAGAAACTGAAACTAAATTGTTATTTCTAAAAGACTCCTAACACTTTTAAAAACTAAAAGTACTAAATACAAATTAAAAGCTAAAAGCAACAAAAGGCTCATCAAAAGTAGTACAAAGCTGGCTAAAAATAGCAGAAGATTAGCAAAATGTATCAAGGCTAGCTTAAAACTAAAACTTTCAAAAGTCTTATTGCTAAAGGTAGAAAAAATGCTATCTAAAGTAGCAGAACAGTAGCTAAAAATTCAAAGTAGAAAAAGGCTAGCTACTTCTAAAAATGTGAAAGACTAGTGTAAAGCTCAAAGTAGCAAAATGCTAGGTAAAAGTATCAAAACAATATCTAAAAGCTAAAGGATGGCTAAAAGCGCAAACTAGAAAAAGGCTAACTAAAAGCTTATAAGCTATCTAGCTACCTAGTATAAAATACTAGGTAAAAGTATCTAAAGCCTATTCAAAATTTAAAGTATGGTTAATACTCAAACTAGCAGACTAACTAAAAGCGGTAGGGACAGGCTATCTAAAGTATCAGAATGGTAGTTTAAAAGCTAAAAGTAGCTAAATGCTAAGTAAAAGTATCAAAGAGATGTCTAAAGACTAAAGAATGACTAATAGCGCAAACTAGCAAAAAGCTAACTAAAAGCTAAAGGAAAAGGCTACCTAAGTAACAGAATGGTAGCTAGAAGCTGAAAGTAGCAAGGAACTAACTAAAACCTACAAATGTAAAAGGGTAGCACAAAGCCAAAAGCAGCAAAATGCCAGGTAAAAAAATACCAAAAGTCTATCCAAAAGGTAAAGTATGTCCAAAAGCTTAAGGTTGAAAAAGCTAACATAGCAGAATGATAGCATAAAGCCAACTAAAATTTAAAGTTAGGAAACAGCTACATTGGGTAAAATAAGTATTGATCACGTCACCATTTTTCTCAGTAAATATATTACTAGAGGT